GGTGCATTGAAGTCCCCTAGGATTAGACATCGATCACTTCGTGATAAAGTGTTGAGACTGCTTAGCAGGACCTCGTTTACCTTACAGCTTGGACTGCGATAGATCAAACTAAGCAGCAACTCTTGTCCCCTGCATTTCAGGTGGCAGCTAATAATTCATACGTCCCACTCTCATGAGATACACTGTCGATAATGGTGAATGGGATAGCATTCCTAATGAATAGAGCTACTCCCCCTCCTTTACGCGTTTGTATTCTATCGGCCCTTACTAATGTAAAACCCTCTAAATCAAGTTCCTTTCTATCTGCAGACTGAGTCAGCCAAGTTTTTGTGACTGCGATTACGTCTGGCCTAGTTGAGTCAATCTGTACACCTAGTTCCGGTAGCTTATTGAGTAGGCTCCGGGCATTGATATAACAGTTCCGAAGCCTATATAAGTAGCCTCGTGCTTCACTCAGAGTGGCTTCGGCATCATCCTCTGTCGAAGCCTTACAACCCAAAAATTTACAATTTTCAGGTCTTTTTCGCCAGAGTCCAATCTGAACTGTAGTTCTTTTTCGGCTTCCCGTCTTTTTACACGGTCCGCCAACGGTAAGTCCTTACGGAGAAAAACTCCTGAACCCTTTAGTTTGTGCCCATTTTGTAAGATTAAGTCGCGTTCGTTTGGAGATTTGACAACTACTTTCAGCAGTCTAGACTGATTAGGCTTTAAATTCGCAGGCTACCAAGTCTATGCACATTTAGCAGGGTGACTCAGGAGATGTTTTGGGTCATAACTTGGTTGAGTAGCTGTTTTATCAACACAATGTCGTGCTCAAAACGAGCTTTCGGTTCTGAGCTCTCACTCTCCTTGACTCTATGTAAAATGACTGATCTGTCGCTGTGATCAGACTTCGGCTTTTCGAACTTTTTGTGGGTGTAGGATTCACTTTTACGTCATTTTGCCGTTTTTCGCTTACGACCCGTAACCAATCGTCGACGTTCTTAGCAGTAGTAACCACAGTCGCGTCAGGCGTACTGTGGGATTCCGGAAGGTTTAGGACAACTTGGGAGGTTGGGTCGTCTTTCGAGCTGGAAACCGACCGAGCCTTGCGATTTTGGGTTCCGGAGGTTCCCTTCTGGGTATCATTTTGAATACGGGAGACAGAAGATACTTCTTTTCTCTAGTTTCTGGTTGTAACAGACCTCTTTGGAGGCTGTTCTTCCTCCTTTGGACAGTGTGGGTCAGCATTTTCTGGACTCACTTGAGCCTGCTTTATGTCAATCCGCGTGTCGACAGATCGAGTTCTGACCGATGTGTCCCGACTGCGCTTGCCGAGACACTTTCGCAGCATTTACCATTGAGATGGCCTCAGTTAACAGGCTATTTGCATCCAAACAGCACTGTTGACATGGCCATATGCATCCATTCTTACTGACATCGACAGCTTGAACGCTTTCTAGTGCTTTTGTTGCACCTTCCAGTCATTTGAGAAGAAAAGAGTGAACTTTGACCAAAAATTAGAAAAACTGTAAATAGTTAGGACCAAGGTGCTAACGGATACAATAGAGAAAACATGGTACTCTAGAGTACCGAAGATAAACTATTTAAAAGACCAAAAATGATACTCTGAACGAATAATTTAACTGAAAGAAATTCAATCAAAGTATAAACAGTAGTCTTGATACGTTAATAATGATCAAAACAATAGAATTTACTCAACGAGGAAAAATACCACTGTCCTTTTTAAATAGCGCGCACCTGATATGCTCTCATTTTTCTTGTCTCTCAAAAAGAAAATTTGCGAGGACACTCCAAAAAAGTTCACAAGCCCAGAACGAATTACTTGTCAGCTAACTACCGACTTTCCCATCGAATAATCAACAAGTGGAATTCATTACCTCAGCACGTGGTTGAGTCTCCATCCGTCGACTCTTTCGAAAGAAAGCTGGATCAGCTGAGAGATCATCATTGCCAGGACTAACACAGGCCATCAAGCCTCCTGTCCTTTCCAAACTGAAACTGATTTATCATTGGACAATTGACTAAGATTCTGTTAACATTGGCGGCATTTACCCACAATGTCACTCTGGAGGTTGGCAGGAATAAAGTATGTTATATGTGATACTATGTAATGACTTCCTCCAGTTACATAAGATACTCCGCAATTTGTGCGAAGGCTGTTAGGGAATGCTTGAAAAGTGAATATAAGCTCGATGCATCTAAACGGGTTGGGAAGCATGTAAAACTAACCAACTGGAAAGATGGAAAGCCAATTAGTAATCTGTCATATTATAAAAATTTGATTTTTAGGAAATGTGGCGTGAAAGACGGTGTGCATGGTTACGATTCCAACATTTATGTGGGTAGTTGAAGTGTTAAATCAACCTTAGAAATTAATTTGATAGCCAAATGTATATGTTCTCTTCAAACTTGTTTTTGTTGTGTTAAGTATCCGGTACCCATATGTTAATTGACTGGATCTAGCATCCTACAGTGGTTAAAAACTACACTTGGTAGCCCGGAGAAGTTATCTAAGTACCATTATATATTCAACCCCTTGAGGGTAGTTGTATTTGATAGGGTCCATTCAGTTTCCTTACGTAGTTGGTGGTACTGTTCAAAATTGACCCCAGTGAATCGTGTGCTCTTGCTCATTTACTCACCCCAAGCCCTGTATTCGTTATATTTCGCAGTTTAATTCTCGTATCGTGTGTAATCTCACTCTTGTTATGATACGACTACAACTTTTATTTATTTGAAAACATAAATATTGGTACAAAGGGGCACAAAATACATATGCGCCACACAAGGCACTTGATTTGTGTACGGGCTGTGACATCTGTCGGGTGCCCAGACCGGAACAGGTATTTCTATTGAGGGGCTACGCCAAGAACCTTCAATCTAAAAGGTCTGCTCCACAGGGCAGTGGAGCAACGGAAGGAGGTGCAGTCCCATGGTAGCTGGTGACCAACATTAGGTTCACACGTCATTCTTTACATCAGGATCCTGGAGCCCATGTGCACCATTGGTTTGAAATCAGGGTTTTACAACTCCCCTAGATGGATCCTCCATATCCACGAATCCGATTAAAGCGCCAGACATTCGCTTTTCGTCCTCTAAATTTCGTAAACAACACGCGATAAGGCAGTGAGTAGGACTTCTGTGGGAGTGGCTGTATATGTGTGGCTATGTGAGAGCACTTGGAGAGTGGACTTACCCCCCCACCTTCGGCTGTACCAGGGCATTTGGGGTTGAAAAAAGAAAGCAGTTTATGTATTAAAGGAATCAAAACGTAGGTGATAATATATGAGGCCCTAAGCATTACTATAATTGTTTGGGTGGGATATGCTTATACGGCTCCGTTGCTAAAAGCCTGTTTGATACTACCAAATTGTAATTATACCACCAAACCTAGTTGCTAATGAATTAATGGCATTGACTCGGTTGATATACATGTTGGCGGACCTGTTACTCCTAGGTTTCAGTTGAATGTGTGGCGTACATTTACTGTAACTTAACTTACATGATAACTATATGGTAATTCCTCTTTCAAAAAGTCATTAGGTCCAGTTAAATGTGAAAATGCGTGGCTTCAGTGCAGCAATTGATGACCCAGTCAGCTTTAACAGTGATTCCAAGTCACCATTCAGGGTTTGGTGCGCTCTAAGTTCGCTACAGGTTTGAATTTCGACGAAGCCTGGTCTACTTCGTCTGATGTTGAATAGTGGACTGCCAAACACTTTGTCAGGGCATAGTGCTCGTCGTCGTGTAATTTAGGAGCATAGATCACGTGACTGTTGACTCTTGTTCGGCCGTTAAATGGTAAAGCCAGATAAAAATGGTGCGAGCTGTTTGGGAAACAATACAAATTTTGACGAAGACACTTTAAGTACTCTGTGTACAGTTGATGAGATATGTTTGTTTTCTTAACCCAACTAGTCAATCAATAACTACTATTTGCATTCGGCACACTCAAACGCCTCACTACACTAAGAGGGAGTCGTGATTTTTGCATGTTTCGTGGCTATTTCCGCGATGTAGTCGAGAGATATTTAAGTGTTACTGCTGCTTCAGCAGACTAGAAGTTATAGCGTAAAGAGCCTTACCGTTGCGCTCTAGTTAGTACCTAACTAGTTTTGCTTCAAAGTATCCTTATGTTTATTACCCAGAAATTAAGTTCAAACTAACCTAGTTTTTTTCACGTTGGTTGTGAGTTAGACACGTTAGGAGAAATGTTGATGAGAATAAAAACTTCCTTACTTTCAAAGATTGCTGCCGTCAGTACTACTCGTACTAAGTGTATAGTTAACTTATCGAAGCCAGAAGTCAGTACCTGCGAGCAATAATCAGTAATCAAAGTTCGCCTGGTATACATGTTGGTGGACCTGTTACTCCTATCAGTATTGGGATAAATTTACAAAAGTACCGCATCCTAGCCAAGTTTTTATTTGAAATCAACGGGTATGATGGCTGTACGTGTCGCCTTAGCCTTTTGGTTTTGACAGTTTGGTGAAATCAGTCTTCTGATCCTACAAATAGCACATGCCTCGTCTGTGTGACTAAATGGCTTTACAAATATTGATCTTCGGATACCTGGAAAGATAAATTCTATTTGTGAATATATCAGCAACTGTAGTGAAGTAATTACGACCTTTCACTGAACGATATTGCAACTAGTTATTTGCGTATTTATGTTGTAGTAATTTTATCATGGAGTGTCTCATCCAGTGTGCTTTACCATCTGTACGGAAATCCTGCTGAGCAAGTATGTGGCGTCCTAGAAACTTTTTTCACCTCGCTGTGGATGCTATTTATTAAGAGTCGACAGTACGAAGAGTCCTTCGAATCTAAAATTGGCTTCTAAGTATTTAACCTGCTAATTAAATTTGGTAAGTTCTAGAGGAACAAGTGTCCATTTAAATCTTCAAGATAGGGGATCTCGATCATTTTTTCCCAGTGAATGCTTCCGAAACTGAAAATACTGCATTTTACTTCAGTACTAAAACTACGCCAGCTTTGTGCAAAAAATAGTTTTTTATTTGGAAATAAACGAATATTTAAAAAAGGATCATTTTTTTATTTGGCTTTTAATAGTTTTGATAAATTCATACGCAAATGGTCCGGAGCAACGTCTATGGGTGTTTTGCCATCCTAAAAAACAACAGATAATAGACCGATTTAACAATATGAATCAAATATGCATGTAATGAAACAAATAGTCTAAGACTTACAAACTGCTGACTATGTAGTAAGCCAATCTATCCGATGATATTACGGCGAGGTATTTTGATCCATGCATATTTGCTTGGTTTAAGACGAGTTTAAACTCGTCTAACTTTTTCACTAAATGATCTTGGTGTTTTGTCTTAGTGGAGTATCGATACAGTCGTAAGCTACTTAAGTATTGGCTTTAGTGGTTTGAAGTGGACATTGAAGTGTTAATGGAGAGTTAACAGAACAAATTAGGACATTAAATAACGTTCCAGTAAAGAGATTTTTCATGCCAGTCTTGATAAGTTGCTTTAATTTATACGGACAGATGTATCTAAAGCGACACAGCGGTGAGATGAGTATTCACAAATACGCGTTTATGCATGAATTGAAATTGCTCTTCAACTAGCCAACTGTACGGTTGTAATTATGTGGAAAAGTATAAGCGTAATACCTAAATAAAATCGATGACTGAGAATAGGGATATCTCGAAATCTCAGGTAGCCTGATTAAGCCTCTTGAAATTATAGGGACTTCATACCGTTTTGAAATTAGATATCAATCTAGGAATGTTTGGTTGTTATCTAATATTTAGTGACTCTTATCATTGAAATCAATATGTCACAACTTTTGATGCACATATTTCAAAACATTGACCAACATAATAGTAATTGTCTTCACTCTCAATAAATTAACATGCGAAAACATTTTTCAGATAAGCGCATGGATACAACCTGATTGCTGGAATAAAATGATAACCATAACTAGGTCACAGACTCATAGTAACTACATAATTGACTAATTATTTTCAATTAACAACAGCCTTAACACTACAATTGACAGGATGTTTCATATTTATTTATTTATTTAAACACATAAATATTGGTACAATGAAGCACCAGATAAATATGCGCCTCACAAATCTCATTCGATTTCTGTGAGGGCTGTGATACTGCCCAGGTGCCTAGACTGAAGCAGGTGGTTTTCTTAGGGGGCCACACCCGGAGCCTTTGACCTGAATGTCTGATCCACAAGGCAGTGGAGCATCGTGAGGAGATGCAGTCCCATGGTAGCCGTTGACCAATGACAGGTTCATCCGCCATTCGTTCCATCAGGATACTGGAGCCCATGTGCACCATTGGTTTGGAATCAGGGTTTTCCAACTCCCCTAGGTGGACCCTCCGTGTCCACCAACCCGGTTAAAGCGCCGGACATTCGCTTTTCGTCCTCTCACTTTCGTAAACAACACCCCCGCCACGAGAAGGCAGTGAGTAGGACTTTTGTGGCAGAGGCTATATATTCGCTGGCCATATGAGAGTATTTCGAGAGGGAGAGGTGACTCTCCCCACTCTCGGCCGTACCAGGGCATTTGTTTCATATTGGTCTGGTGCGTACCATATATTTGATACAGATGGACAGCTCTTTAGCTAAAGTCTATTATTATTACCTTGCCGTTAATCGGTATGGAGATGACAGGCTGTATAGAACTCTTCTTGTTTGATAATCGTGTCTCATATACACTCAACACTGGATAAAGTATCTGTTATATGATAGAAGTATAAATTACCAAAAGGCAAAAATGGGTTTGGTAGTAGATTCCCGAAATAATGATTTTCATACTACTACTATTACACCGATTTAACAGTTAGCATTTACATGTAATTTTTGCGGTACTGTGCTTCATACATTTAACTGTAAAATAGCTGACTAGTACGTTTATGGTCAAACATTCATATCTTATCTCGATAACTTCGGAACCATTTTTAGTGTATTTATTTATCTTCACAGGGATAGTAGAAATGATTATTCTAGCAGGTGGTCAATATATGAGAAAAAGCATATAATTTCAGTAAACTTACTGTATCTTTATGATTTATAGAGGCACCATAATTCATTAATAAAGTTGCAGCTTGGAAATTGCCTTCTTCGCATGCATAATGTCTATTTAAACAAGCAAAGAAAGACATAGCATTGATGTGTCACAAATAATGTGATTTTTATGTGTATAAACAAATTTATTCCCATACCAAAAAGTCGAAATTTCTACAATAGCTAGTTTAACAACTAAACAGCGGTGGCTCTAAATTTTCACTTGAATACAAAGTTTATTGGTTTTTTCTAGTCAGTGATATTACAGTTTAACTGAAAAACAAACTAGTTGATTCTCTTTATGAATTTAAATGAAGTCAAAATGACAATTCAGACAGTAATGTGAGTTCATGCTTCGTGGTCTTTCTTCAGCTCTTTACAATCGTGTTTGCATTAGCGTAAGAATGAGATGTAATATAATATAAAGTAATAAACATTACTGATGGAAAGAAATGGAATGATAATGACATATATATATATATATATATATATATATATATATATATATATATATATATGTCATGCTTGATGACGACTTGGATTTTACAATTTTATATAAGGAGGTAAGACACTAATAACTGACAAGCTTATCGTTTATGTTATCGTGAGATGACTGATTTACTAGAATATTTATAGTGCTAGTAGACTGTAATGACTTTTATGAACTAGGATGTGTAATAGCGTTGTCTCAAACAACCGATTCAGTGTTGGGACTTTGTAATAAGTTGATGTAAATGTAAACCATGCGTTTAAATGTCGATAATTGGATTAATAAATTGTTAGTAAGGACAAATAGATGTATTATATCCCGATAACAATAGTGAATAGTAACTTTGGGATCTATTTATGAATCAATATTACGCATATAATTTTTATCGTATATTTGCTAAATAATTAAACTACTTGTACTCATGTTCCTTTTATTGTGAGTTTTATTTTGACCTATGGACTATTATTGTACGATGTACCATTCTTGAGTTATCCCTAGTCTATTAATTACTGCCTCCCACATTCACAGCCACATTTGGCTAAATCTTGTACAAATGTTATTTTCTATTTTATGGTACAATGTGGTTAGTTTGTTTGGTATATAAACTCAGTATGTTTGAAATACAATGATTCATACCGCAGAGGCTGTTATTGGTGTTCTGGACTTAACTGGTTGGGTTAGGCAGAAGGGAGGACCGATACGTACTCTAGACTGCTCGTAAGGTTTCCGTGTGCTACTGTTCCAACCCATAATTCGCTGCTCTCTGATTGGCGGTCTTACCACGTCATACGTTAGCAAGGCATCCACTCGACCATAAGATATAACAGGATGATCATAAAAAGGCTAAAAAGTAGGAAACATTTTCTGTGCTCAAGTTCAGTCAAAACCTGTTTAATCGTATAGCAGAATAATCGTTAGTTTGACGCTAAACACAACTTAGCAGGTGATAGTTATGAAAAATGAGCAGAAAGTGTCGGAGACAGATTCTTATTTGTTTATTTATAAGTGAAAACTTACAGAGGTGTTTGGCCTTGTTTGTCAATTATGTCAACAAGCTTTGAAAACAGTACATTGCGGCCTTCTTCATTACCGACGTCTTCTTCAGTAACTGTATGATCTAAAAGAAGTTTAGCTATATCTAGGTTTTCTGTGGCGATTGCACGATGAAGCGGTGTAACTCCTCCCCAATCTTTTACATCTGGTTTCGCACCAGCATTTAATAACTGTTTGGCCAACTAAAAAAGAATATTAGGAATATAATTTCGAACATGTCCGTTTAGTATAATTAGGAATAACATCAACTTGGGACACCAAAAATCGAATTATTATTTTTATTATTACGGTAAGAATCACCAGTAGAAATACAACAGTTAAGAAAATATTCACCAGCAGCGATGTAATTTTCAAGTGTGTTCGGACTCCAAAATATCTAGGGTTCGGTAGACATCGACGATTTCTTGTAGGGAGACTAAGTCTCTACTTCTATCTAACCTGTTATTTTCATACCATAAAATATTGATGTCTTTTATATTCGGTTTAATACTGAACAAGGACATAGCAATAATTAAAGAAGTCACTAATCGTTAGGTTAAAGGATTTAGGAAGATGCAATCTGTTTAAGACTGGAATGAAAATGAGGGAGAAACAACCAGGAGCAGTTCAACTGGCCAAACTTTGATTACAGTTACCATCGAATGGGATCTCAGACATCGTTGTATGACATACAGCTCTATAAGGTGGCTGGAATTTCTTTTTGGATAAACCCCCCTGATGGAATTTAACAGACTTTCAGATTAATGAAGGTCCGACTAATAATCAGTTAGAACGATGCTTTAGAGTGATCGGATCAAGCTACATTAATAAGCACGGACATTTTTACTTAGACTCGCATAATTAGAATAAGTATATCTAAGTATGTGGAAATTAGACAGAACACCAAATGAGTAAACTTATATACGTAAGAAGTATGAGAATATTTAAAATATTTGACCGTACGTAAAAACTGACCTGAGGACGATTTTTAGAAGCACAATAGTGAAGACAGCATTGACCTGTCGAATTTACTACATTTACATCAGCGTGTTCTTGCTCTATAAGATATGAAGCTACATTATCACGTCCAGCGGAAACAGCAATCATAAGTGGAGTCCAGTTAGACTAAATAAAACAATGAGAGAAAAATATGATAGTCTACAATGTTTTTTTTCCACTTGCAATACCTAAATCAAATGATACAGACCTTTTAAATGGTCTTACAATTCATGAATGCTGATAATATATCAAACATATTTTTGAAAGACTCAAGTATTATCAACACTTTTATCACACATGAGGATATCCAAACAAAAGATCAATCATGAAAAGGTCGAGACTAAAGAGAGTTACTCCCATCAGCATACCTATAACGAATTTGAAAAAAGTGGTGGTAGTAAATATGCTCGCCAACATTACTTATTGTCACTTCGCATGAAAATTCCTCAGAAACGCCGACATTACTAACCATTAAGAAATTGCCTACAGCCTTAAATGAGTAACCTGATCTCTTACAAAATATCCCTGTACGATTAAGCGCCAACAGTATCAAGGGGTTTTCCTACACACAGTTTTCATAAGGTTCTAGTTTAACGAGTGTGAAAAGTAAGCAACTGGTTCATAAATCCGATTAATAAGCATGAAATTCCCTTGAAGAGGAACATTTATTATAGTTTAGGTGCTCAGATAGTATCACAACTCTCATAGAAAAAATGACAGATATGAGGTTCCTGCTTCGGCTTATGAAGACGTGTGAACCAAATATTTTGTCACTCAGAGGTTTATCTTACATTATTTAATACTGACGAGTTGCTTTATTCCCCCATAAGATTTGCTTTTTCTGATGTATGACTCCTAAAATAGACAGAGCCGAAATAATACCAGGTCTTCCTCACGACAAGAGTTGTTTATACTATGGTGAGTTGAAAGTTTCGGTGAAGGTAAGAAGTGGCTAGCAAACCAAAAGATTTTAGTGTGGATTGAGCAAGTATATTATGCCAAAATGACGCACCACTAAAACCACCACATTTTTTAATAGTCAGTCAGTCAGCTACAACGTAGGACCAGGCACATATATACATCGGTCCAAGTTGCCATATTTCGTTAGCACAACAAGATGAACACTGGATTCATAGAAGTAATTAATTTAGTGGTGGTAGTAGTATATAAATTATAGGTTGTATATAAGGATATAGTACAGGAAGGGAGATATGAAGCAATTTTAATCTTACGGTTTAAGGGAAGATAAAGAGTGTATACACCTACGCCACTGTGATCGATTCTGAGTCATGTCACCTAGAGTCTCCAACCATTGGTTACGATAGTCACGCGGACCCCAACCAGGTAGTCTGCATCTGCCAACATGGCTCAGACTAGAAGTTAGTGACTTCAAACACTGATGCCATGTTTTGGTTTGGCAGCCCCTAACTCTTCCAACAATCCCCAATACTAGTCACCATAGCGCGTCGTGGTAATCGGTGTTCAGGCATACGTAACACATGGCCCAACCATCTCAGTCGATGAAGATTCATCACCTAATCAACTGATTTACCATAGTTCCCTAATACCCTACGTCTAACCTCACTATTACTTACCCGGTTATCCTAGCAGATGCGAGCAATATTTCTAATACACTTAAAAAGAACTTTGTTATTTTTTACATATGAAAAAACTAGAAGTATTCAAGTGGACGTAAATATACTGATTACCTGATCTTTGCAATCTTTATCGAAACCTCTACTTAGAAGAACTTTTACCAATTCTAAATGACCTCCACAAGCCGCCCAATGAAGAGGATTTCGCCCGGCCTGCAAGTATTGAATACAGAATTTCAAAAAAATTCACAATGAAACCTGGTCAACAAAAGATTTTTCTCCATCTGATTCCAATATTTTTACTACTGCAGTAACAACCCCATCGTACGCAAAACGACATACTGCCAAGTCAGACATTAGAAATTTATCCAACTGAGCAGCTTTGAGCTACAAACCTGTAGTAAAAGAGAGCAGATCGAGTGATAACAAATGAAATTAAAAACACCTTAGTAAAACAATTCACCTTTTATCGGAAAATATTATTTCTACAAGATTTTTAAACTTCCAAGACAGATCTGTTTAAATTAGGACTACCTGAGTAGTGGTCCAATCAAACAAATAGCCTAGAAACAAAAATTAGCTTATTCCACAATTAAACGAGGTTCGTAGTTAGTAATCGTTGCAACATAGACAAGTGTTAGACAGATCAAATTACCAGGACGGAAAACTAAGTATTACAGCAAACGAGTGAGATTTTGTGGCTGAATCTTCCAAACACTTGAGCTACAGCAGCACTATCAGTGATGGACTAGCAGAATGAATATCGTACTGAATGGTTCAGAAGATGAACCATACCTTTCGTTAGACTATGGACACGGTATTACTTCATCAAGTGCACTCTGCTTTCTTTGATCGTCTTATTTTGTCAATAGTCTGCTACTAATGTGAGTACTGGAACTTTTATTCTTTTGCTATTATTCTACGGTAGATAAAAGACAGTATTTACTGTCATCAGCACCGTTTTCCGATTTTGGGGGAACTTTCGCCATTTTTTCAGAACACTGGAAAAATTTTGGGAAATGCGTCAAAAACGTCAAAGTTTCGTCAGGCTCGAGGGCGTCCCTCAAAATTCCAAGTTATTTAGGAGAAATTCTCAAAACTTTGCGGGAAATGCACTGCAATGCATTTAATCTCATAACTACCAGTTAGATATGCCGCTTAATGATAAACCACAATATCAGCTTTGCAATATTGTAGACTGGTTACTTAAGCGATATTTTTAGACTTTTCATTAAAAGCGAAAGCAATCAAATATATCTTTATACACACACCTACGTAAAGGATAGCTCCACCATATTCACAAGATTACACGTTCATGAAATATGTACTATGCTTAAGCCAATAGAAAATAATTCCTACAACGATTGTCATTATAATAGTATTATAATAACGACAAGTTAATGAATTTGACATATAAGAAACTCGTGTCAGGCTTTTTGAGAATACTACCGATGCCAAAATATATTACTAAAAAATTAATATGACATACATAAAAGGAACCACGATGCGTCACAAGGTTTGAAGAAGCCGCGAGGGGAACGACCCAGTGGCATCATGGAACAAGTTAAAAGTCAGCCTCCGTTTAAAATTACCTCAATTGTGTTTCCGCGACCTTGAAAGACCGAATAGTAAATGGTTCAAATGGTTCAAATGGTTGAGGACGGAATAGAAGAAGCTTTCGCTTAACGGGCTTCCGTGTCTGGTAGCAGTGGATCACCAATACCTCCAGGCAAGAACCTAGGTATATGAACGATAATAGAGGGAAAAAATGAATTTGGTAAATCATAATAATATGTTATCCTTAGTCCTTAAGAATAAGTCAAGTTTTCTCTTAAAGGACTCCTGGGAGGTCGCTTGGACTAGCTTAGTCGGCAGCGAATTCCAGCACTTGACAACTCTAACGGAGTAGAAGTTGTGTCTGCAGTCTGTTCTGCTATGTAGGGTCTCCAATTTCTGGGTGTTACCTCTGAGGTTAGTGTTATGACTAAGCTTAAGAAGTTGTTTAAGGGGATGACCAGAAGTATTAAGGATACTATAAGTCATAAGAAGATCACCTCTAAGACGCCTATACTCTAACGGGTAAAGGTTAAGTGATTTGAGGCGTTCTTCATAAGGTTTGAATTTGAGACCCCGAACTGATTTCGTGGCTCGACGTTGTATACGTTCCAGAGTGACCTTATCCTTTTGGAGGGAGGGAGGAAATACTATGTTTCCGTACTCTAAGTGGGGACGAATAAAATTGTTGAAGATTATGTGGAAGGTTCTACCGTCAAACTGGCCAAAAATGCGCTTCAATGTTACCAGTGCAAGGTTTGCTTGAGAGGCGTTTTTGTCACAGTTCGCATACGATTTCAGGTCGTAGGGTACCAACACTCCTAAATCTTTTTCGACTTGGGAAACTTCTAGAGGGGAGTCACCTAAGTTATAACTATAGTCTGCAACATGTCTCAGATGGACTACCTTGCACTTTGAAGTGTTGAAGGTAAGTCCGTTGTCGTCTGCCCAACTTTGAAGTCGAATCAGATCCTCCTGCAGAACTAGTACATCATTGTGATTACGTATCTCTCTCCAAAGTTTCACATCATCAGCAAAAAGCAATAAATCAGATGAAACTTGTTGAGGAAGATCGTTAATATAAATCAAGAAGAGAAGAGGTCCTAGTATTGAACCCTGGGGGACCCCACTAGGACATTCCATAGCCTGAGAGAGAGTGAAGTTAACCCTGACCTTAAAATGTCGGTTTTCTAGGTATGAAGGGATCCAATCAATTAAAAGGGGTTTTATACCCAATCGTCCAAGCTTCTTGATAAGACATGCATGGTTGACCCTATCAAAAGCTTTTGAGAAGTCCAGGTAAATGACGTCAACCTTCCCCTTGCGATCAAGGATGGTTGTCCATTTATCCACCGCAGTCAGCAGGTTGGTCGTACAAGAATGACCTTTTCTGAAACCATGCTGTTGAGGCGAGAAGAACTTTGAGGATGATAAGTGTTCTAGTATGCCGTCGAATACTAGGGATTCCATAATTTTTGAAGGTATGGGGAGAAGGGCCACTGGTCGGTAGCTTGAGGGTTCACTGCGTCGACCTCCTTTGAAAATTGGTGTGATGTGGGCCAGCTTCCATATTTCCAATAGTTTGCCTCTGCTTAGCGAGGGTGCAAACATCACGCTAAGTGGTGTCGCCAGGATTGAAGCTGCTTCCCTCAATACGGCGGAATGAACCATGTCCGGACCAGGAGAAGTGTCTTTTTTAGGTTCTGCAGCTTACGGAGCACCGAGTCAGCACTCAGGTCCACTTCGGAAAGTCCTGTACAGGTGCAGGTGAAGCTTTCGTCAGTATGGTTGATGTGGGTCAGTTGGAATGTCCGGGAGTAATGTTCAGCCAAAAGGTTAGCGGCATCACTGTCGTTGTTGATCGGGCCATTAGGACCAAGCAGTCGGGAAACTCCAGTTTTCCCTTGTCGAAGAGAAGCTGCATAACGGAACAAGCTTTTCGGATTGGAGACGAATCTATCGATAAGCTTGGTCTGGAACTGAAGCCTGTCTTCTCTTATTGCCTTTGTGCATGTGTTCCTTATATGTTTGTATTGCTTGTACGCGCCGTTGTTATCCGTTCGTTTATATTCAGCCCAACAGTGCCTTTTGCGGCTTAGCAAACGACGAGTGCGGTTCTTGATGATTGCAGGTTGCTTGTAGCTTTTTGGGACCATTTTGGGAACTGAATGCTCAGTGGCACATAAGATCGTGTGCAGTAAAAATTCCCAATGAGCATCCACTTCAATTTGAGGGTGAACATCCCAATCCACCTGTTGTAGATAGTCCTGTAAAGCTAACACATTCAACCGTTTGAAGTTCCAGCGCTTGTTGCTAGTAGGATATCGTAGCTCCGTCTTGCTGACAAAGCTGAATGATAAGACGGCGTGATCACTTTTGCCCAGGGGAGCCAGGATTGAGAGGTCGTCAACTAGGAATTCTTCGTTTGTGAATACCCAGTCTAAGCGTGACGGCGTCTGACTGTTTCTCCAACGGGTTGCCGACTTCACATTTTCAAATAATCCCAGGTCGCCGATAAGGTTGAAGAACAGAGCTTCAGTAGAGTTGGCACCACCAATGTATGTATGTTCCACGAAGTTGATTCTAGGGAGATTGAAATCCCCTAGAAACAGGATATGAGAGAATCCAAGACGCGTAGAGCGAGTTAATCCTTCCAGCAGACGTTTGTCATATTCGATGTCGGCAGTGGGATTCCTGTAAACGACCCCAACTAGGCACCTCGAAGTGGTAGATAATCTTACTGAGCACCATACTGACTCGTCAAGATTGTGAAACTCTTGATTGTGAAGTTGGTGCGCATCCAGGCATGACCGTACGTATAGTGCTACCCCACCCCCCATTCCTGTTTTTCTGTCGTTGCGAAATAAAGACATCCCAGTTATTGCTAACTCTTGGTCCGTAAACTGAGACGTTATCCAAGTTTCGGATATTCCTATCAGATGGGCATCATTAGCGTTGCTAAGTTCACGTAGCTCATCCATTTTGTTTGGCAAGCTCGCGGCGTTCGTGTATAGGCAGGAAGGTCGGGGTTGTCAATAAGGTTCATGATTATGACAGAGTCGTCACGAACCGCAATTGATTTCCCAGGTTTTCCAGGGCGTCTAGGTTTGGTATCTTGTTGTTTGGATGTCGAGGCGCGTTTTCGATTCCTGGGCTCAGTGATGACCGGGCGGACAGTCTTGGGTGTAGACTGTGCGGCCAAAGCATCAATTGATTTCCGCAAAATACTTGGGACGTTCAGTTTCGGAGGGGACGCTTGGGCTTTATTACTCCTGTTAACGTGAGTCCATCCACCTACAGGATTTTTAGGAACCACTGTCTCATTCCAGAACCGTTCCCCGGGGGATCCAAGTTTACTGAGGGAGTCGATGACAGTCGATGTTAGGATGGTGCTGGGTTTCAACACATCATCACTCGTGCTGTTAACAGCACCGTCGATAACCGACCTGTCAGTATCCTTTTTCTTATTTGCCCTATGCGTTCCAGCTTTGTTACCCGTCATGATGATATCATTTACCGAATTCTTAGACAACTTATCTCTCAGACCTGTCAGTAAAGTAATGATAGTACCCAACATAACTACCGTATCGGTGTTGCAGGTAACACATACCCACCTACGATCAGACTTGCTGAGTCCGCTATAGGCTGCTGCTGTTAGATCTGTACATGCTTCATGGAACCAACCTTTACAGTTGTCACATTGCATGCCAGATGTAACGGCAAAACGGCAACCAGGTCTCTTGCATGAATTTTTCATGGCTAGTGATTTAGACTGTCTTAAAAATATAAGCAGTAAATTTAGGACCGATAAAAAACACACACAGTAAACAAAAACTATCAAAAATGTATAAAAACAGTTAACGATAAGCTAAAGCTAGCCTTTACGTGAAAACTATAAAAAAAACCGATAGTGAGCTGAGGCAAAACCACAGTTAACTATTAATTTGAGTGAAACACAAAAAAGAAGTAATCTACCGAACGTATAGCTCAGAATAGATTCTTTGGATTGGAAATGATACTTTTGTTGCGTAAGAACACAGCAAAGTTTGAGAAATGTAAATCACGTTAGGACTAAACTTCCCGTTCGAATAGCGCGCGTTACAAATGGTTGTGGAGGGAATAGAAGAAGCTCTCGCTTAACGGGCTTCCGTGTCTAATAGTAGTGGATCACCAACACATCCAGGCAAGAACCTAGGTATATGAACGATAATAGGAAAAAAATTGGTAAATCATAATAATATTTTATCCTTAGTCCTTAAGAATAGGTCAAGTTTCCTCTTAAAAGACTCCTGGGAAGTCGCTTGGACTAGCCCAGTCGGCAGCAATTACAGCATTTGACAACTCTTAAGGAGTAGAGGTTGTGTTTACAGTCCGTTCTGCTATGTTGGGTCTCTAGTTTCTGGGTTTTACCCCTTAGGATAATATTGTGACTAAACTGAAGTAAATGTTTAAGGAGATGTTCAGAAGTGGTAAGGATACTGTAAGTCATAAGAAGGTCACCTCTGAGACGCCTATACTCTAACGGATAAAGGTTAAGTGATTGAAGGCGCTCTTCATAAGTTTTGAATTTCAGTCCCCGGACTGATTTCGTGGCTCGATAAGTATAGTATAAGTAAAGTTGGTTGTGAACCTGTGTCAATCGTGGCAGATTGCCTTCTAGTGAAGGTACAGCTTCTCTTTGAAAATGTCCACTGATGGGGCTGATACTACTTGTTCGAATAATGCGTTTCAGTGATTGAAAATTCGATGAGAAAAACGGGACCCCACTTCAAGTTCATTAAATTATGGTTTTCTGAACCTTCTTGTTATGACCTCGGAGAGTATTAGTGCTGGAGGGAGCAAAAAGATAAGATATATTAACACCCCAATTATAATTAAAGATAGGAAATGCCAATATAAGTTCACCTCGCGTCCTACGGTTAGACAAAGGGAAAAGGTTTAGGCGTTTTAAATGCTCGTCGTAAGAGAATTTAGAAAGGCTCTTCACTAATTTCGTTCCCACACGCTAGACACTCTCAAGTGAGTTAGTATCATTTATCAGACATGAT